ATTAAGAATTAATTTTGTGGCTAAAAGAGATTAATTAAACTTAGGGGACTGGAATTGTAATTATGAGATAATTGCAATTGGGCTATGGATCACCTTGGAATAAAAGGTTGGACGAATTCTATGGGGAAGCCCATTAGAAATCGTCCAAGGCACGTTCCAGAAAGGGTCCATGGGCTGCTTAGGGCCTAAGCAGTCAAATTAGGGTTTCCTTGTTTGATAACCCTAATTGCCTAAGTATATAAGGAACCCTTGGGCACCAAATATTTGGCAAACACTTCCTTTAGGGTTTCTAGCCGTTTTTGGTACCTCCTCCCTCCTCCCTCTTCATCCAAGTTGCTTAGTGGTGTTTGTGACTCCATTAGAGGTGCAACACTTGAGGCACTAAGCTTTCTAAAGCCAAGGATTAATTGTTATTGCTATATAACAATCAAAGGTCAGATCAAAACCCTATTCTATGTTAATATGATTAATTGTATGCTAGATCTAGGGTTTATAGCTTTGGATATTCAATTGCATGTTCATTAGACAAACTAGATCCAAAAGTTATTAGGGTTTGCATGTACATCATAGGATTGATGTATTGTTCAAAACCCATCAGAATACAGTCAGCATCTACAACAAGTTTTAGTGACGTTAAGGGAAGAGAAGCTATATGCAAAACTTTCAAAGTGCGAGTTTTCGATTCAAAAGGTAGACTTCTTAGGGCACGTATTCACCGAGGATGAAATACACTTGGATCCTTCCAAGGTCAAGGTGATTGCAAGCTGGGCAACACCAAGAACACCGACGGAGATACACTAGTTTTTGGGCCTTGCTGGCTACTATCGAAGATTTATACAAAACTTGTCTAAGATTTCAAAGCTGCTCGCTACCTTAACTAAGAAGGGAGTGACATTCAAATGGGAGAATAATTAATAAACTACTTTCCAAACGCTTAAAAAAGCTCTGTGAAGCACTCCAATCTTGTCTCTCCCAGAAGCGACCGAAGACATCGTGGTCTATTATGATGCATCCAAACATAGCTTAGGATGTGTGCTCATGCAATGAGAAAAGGTCATCGCCTATGCCTCAAGACAACTCAAGATGAATGAGATCAATTACACCACGCACGATCTTGAACTAGGAGCACTGGTGTTTGCCCTGAAGATCTGGAGGAACTACCTCTATGGCACGAAATGCACTATCATCACAGATCATAAAAGTCTTCAACACATTCTCAATTAAAAGGAGCTCAACATGAGACAACATCGATGGGTTGAACTGCTAAATGATTATGAGTGCGAAATCCGTTATCACCCGGGCAAAGCCAACATAGTAGCAGATCTCTTCAGCTAGAAAGAATACTCGGGCCGTCGGGTAAAGTCGTTGACTATGACCATCCATTCCCACTTATCCGCACAGATCAAGGAGGTGCAGAAAGAGGCATTAAAACCAGAGAACGTCGCAGGGGCGGCCTTACGAGGAATGGTTAAAAACCTTGAAGTTAAGGATGACTGAGCTTATTATCTCATGAATCGAATCTGGTCATCAAAGTTCTGCGGGTACAGAGACGTTGTCATGAATGAGGCTCACAAGAAAAAATACTGCGTTCATCCAAGTTCAGACAAAATGTATGTGGATCTCAAGAAACTTTATTGTTGGCCGAACATGAAGATGGAGATCGCTACCTATGTGGGCAAGTGATTGACTACTTTTAGAGCCTTCAGCGTGATGGGACCATAGCACTGGGCCTTCAGCCTATCTGGACCGCTCTCTAGGACTTCGGCCTGACTGGACTACCTCGAAGGCCTTCAGTCTATCTGGACCGCCCTGGTAGCTTGGCCTTTAGCACGAGTTGGTCCGCCTCAACCCAACAACCATAACATGTTGACATATACAACAACAATCAATAATCAACAAACATAGGTAGTCCTATTAATCTACCAGTCTAACATATATACAACAACATAGGTAGTCTTATAGATCTACCAGTCTAATCACATAACCAATGAACATATAACCTCAACATAACATCACACATCAAACCAAGATATCTAATCTAATGGGTCACATTGGTTCCTTTGACCCACAAGTACAATGAGGAAAAATCATCTCTCAGTCTGAGCAGATAGTTAAATAGAACACTGCTCCAAATATTAGCTCTAAACATCCCATATACATTAAAAAGAGACCAATCTCAACTACAACTTAAAATACTAAAAATACTGTTACGTCAAACTTGGTTAAATCCTGGTCAAAGTCAAAAGTCAAAAAAATTTAACCGAGTCAACTCAATTGAGTACGCCCAGTATACTCAGCTTGTACACACGGCGTACAAGGGTATTGAAAGAAAAGTTAGTTTTTGACTACGTACACGCATCATACTCTAACATACGCACCTGCCACCTTTTTTCTTATATTATGGGCTTAATCCTTTAAGCCCTTTCGTCCAAAGTACAGATCTACCCTCAAATGATGTCCTTAATCATATACTTTCCAACTTTATGATGTTGCATGGCAATTAAGAGCTGCATACAAAAAACGCTAACTTTTTACTCATTAAGACATCATAGCACATGCATACTAGGAAACTAAGGTCCAAGATTACTTAAAGCTCAAATGAATTAGAGTAACCCATACTCAGTACATCATGCTTATGGGACCAAAATGAACATAAATCCATGGCTAATCAAGATATAAGAAAAACTTCATCAATATTAGACCTTTTTACCTTCGAGTGGTGCCAAATGATGATGCGTTTCTAGATCCAAAGAGCTTCACTCTTCTAATACGGTCTTCTCTTCATTCTTCCTCCTTCAAGATCACCAAAATACACACTCATGGCTCAAAGATGCTCTAAAAATGGAATAGGGTTTGCAAGGGTCGAATATAAGGCTGGAGGCTGATGAATGAAGGGAGCCTTGAGAGTTAAGGAGGTATAAAAATTGCACGAACCCTAAATATTATGGTTTTGGTCTAGGCTACGTACACCCAATGTATGCTTGGGTACCCCCAGCATACATAAGTAGTGTATGTTTTCTCATTAAAGTGTCATGAGACTATTTTTGCAATCATTTCTCATACCAAAGGTTAAAATGGAAACACCTGAATGTCCAGATGTTACAGGTTTTCCGTGACTGTTTGAGACTGTCTCTGCCACAACGTGGTGATTTACGTCAATGAAATGGCTATGCATTTTGGTACGTATCTGAGTTTATCCAAGACTAGGTTTTAACCGGGTTAAACCCATCAGCTACGACACAGCCAATGGATAGCCATGACATGGAGGTTAATAAAGGTTGACTTTGACATTGACTTTTGACTATTGACTTTAGGCCATTTGGGATATTTTGAATAGTATATTGAGGCTTGGTCCCTATCTATTGTATATGTGACCTAAAGAGACGTTAGTTGGAGCAATACTCAGTTCAGATATCTTCCTAACATTGAGGTGATTTTCTCCTCACTCTACTTGTGGGTAAAAGGCACTAATGTCGCCCCATTAAGTTATGTATCCTTGTATATAAGATGATGCTTTGTTGATTATATCTTAGATTGGCGGATTTGTAAGATTACCTATATTTTCTTGCTATATGTTATATGTTACATATGTCGAGCGAGTGTGTGTGTGTGTGTGTGGGGGGGGGGGTTAAGGTTGCACTACTTTATGTTAGACAATCCAATCAAGAGAATATAGGCCAGTGGCAATTCAATCGAGAGATTATGGGACAGAATGGCAATCCAATCGAGAGATTGTAGTCAAGAGTGGCAATCCAACTGAGAGATTGTGGGCCACGGTAATCCAGTCAGGAGACTATAGACCCAACATGCAATATATATATTTTTCAGTTGTGTGTGGTATTTTGGAGAAACTCACTAAACTTTTGCTTACAGTTTGATTTTTATGGTTTCAGGTACTCCAGAATGTAGGGGCAAAGCAAAGGCTTGATTTGCACATCATCCTGGATTTTTTGACATATGATTTTGAGATACTTTGATTCATCTTTATGACTTTTGGAAATTGAGTTTTGTAAGACTTATGGGTTATTAAATGGTTTTAAAAATGAAAATTTCATCATGATTTTTGGGATTTTACATTAAGAGCATGGATTGGTGAGGTTGAGAGCACTTAGTTTTGGGTAGTATACTTTTATTTAGACGATACGAATTGGTCATGTTTTGGTTGTTACTTTTTCTTCAATAATGGTTTTTTAAACTTAAATACGTTTAATTGGGTTGTTTTTGAAAAATAGTAAAGTACGATTTGTTTTTAAATTTGTTGCATAAAATGAAAATTTTGGGGAAAACTCACGTCGTTACATTATCCTTGTTGTAAAAGGATTTTTGTGTACTTAGTTATGATTTTGTGAAAACAACGACAAAAACTCATACCCCATGAAAAAACCCTTTATGACCAAATCACTTATATTGAGCTAAAATCCTAGAAAATTCGCTTCTGATACATTTGATTTATATTAAATATTGCATACCCATTTGCACAAAGCAACACAAGCATAAAAATCAAAACATTATCATTATACTTCACAAGAATCACATTCGAAGGAATTTTAGAGATAAAACAACAAGAGGAGTATATCAAATTGTTCATCTTATAGTGAAGTAGTGAATCGCATTTGTTCTATTTGTTTTTCGTTTCAACTTTCTTTTTGTCATCTTTTGTCCTGACTACCCTTCGTTGTATCTTACGGTCAGATTATTTCCATGTTATTTTTTTCGTTTTAACTACCACTGTGTTATTTTTCGTTCCGATTATCTTTGTGTTATTTTTTGTTTTGACTACCTATGTTTTATTTTTTTTCTTTTGCACTATTCTTGTGTTATTTTTTCCATTCACACTAAAACTACGACATCTACTAAAATCAATTATTTAAAATAATAATAATAATAATAATAATAATAATAATAAACAAAAAAAACAAAAAAAATATATGTCAAATCAAAATGTGGGCTTAAAAAGCAAATAAAAAAATGCATGGAAGAACATACAAAAACACTCTTATTTAGGTGTTAGGACCCAACAGTGAAAGAAGAAAGGTTCTGTAATTGCTAGACGTCTCCGAGTGAACAGCATCTGTCAAAGTTTTGCCGTACTTTTTATAGTACTCTGCTTTTATATATTGCATATCCATCTCTGTCCTTGTCACAATTACTCGAGTCAGAGTTTTATCATCGGTTCCCAGCCCTTTCATTGCTTTTCGTAACACCTGTACTTTCCAAATTCATAGATTAACATTTCCATAATCAGTTCATCCAACGTTATTTAATAAATCAATTATCCATTTATAAAAAATATACCCAAAAAGAAAATGCGTCGGCTATTTATCAATACAAATCTGCATAAGAATACTTATATAATTATAGGAAATAAAGAGTTATAACTAATATTAACAATTTTGTTCCCTTATTGTTGGGAATCATAAACAGATGCCATGTCGTGTCGTATCTTCTCATACATAATAAACAAACATACACGATCTAAAAGGTCATGGCCATACATAGTGATGAACCCTAAGAGGTACTAGTAAGTAGAATCACCCCTTCTGGTTAATGATGATACAGGTATATTCGAGTACAAAATCATATACTATCGAATATATATTAAGGGGTGTTTGGATTACCTTTTTAGCTTATTGTTTATAACTTATTTGAGGTAGGAATAAGCAATAAGCAATAAGCATGGGGAAAGATGCTTATTAAAATTAACTTATTTAGCTTAATAAGCTGGATTTTATCAAAACACTCAAAATAGCTTATTGTGGGAATAAACAATAAGCACCTCTTTTTTTTCCTATCAAAACACCCCTAAACTGGAAAGAAACATAATACATGCAAATTGTCTGCTTTGTTTTTCTTTCCATTTCCCTAAGCTTACGTCCTTCTATAAAATACTTTTTATCCATTGCTTATCCCAACATACAACACTTAATTGAAAAATAAAAAAGTAGGATGCTATAATAAACATACCTTCGCAAAGTATTTACCGGGATTCTCAGCCGATTGCAAAATTGTTACAAGAGCATACTCAAAGTTCCCAGAAGTTTCACTCTTAATAGCCTGTAAATATGATACCATGTCATATGGGTTTTAACTAAACCAATGATATAGGATGCTATTATAGACACACTGAAGGTACCTTCTTAAGTGTGTTCCCAAACATATTTTTATATGCAGAACTGACTGCATCCATATGTGGGCGGCTTCTTTCACTGAAAATGCTTCTAAAAGTTTGCTCATCGGTTCCTAATCTCTTTTCCCCAGCATTAAACAATGCTTTAGCATCTTGCTCCACTATTGTCCTATCAACATCTGGCCCTTCACTTCGAGGCATACATATATATGCAACAAGCATCTACAACAACCAAAATTATGCATCTTACCCTCATTACATGCAACAAATCGCATTACATCATTTCTTCCTATACCAACATATTCTACAATACAAAATTTACCCAATGTCATCTAGATGCAAAATTAATTTTCAAATTACAATGTCTCAGTGAAAAAAGTGGCACTACAAAGATTTAATAGAAACAAGTTGTACTAAATAAATCAATGAAATAACGTTGGTATCTCTTGCATTTTTTCCATTGCAAATGATTAAAAAAATGACTACAAAGTTTTGATAGAAATAAAACGTACTAAATAAATAAACGAAATAACAAGTTGTACTAAAAGTATGTGAAAAGTGCAATTAATCGTGTAAGTGACATGATCTCATCTATTGGGGAGGCCAAAAATGAGTTGTTTTTTTTTTTCTATATAAAAGTTAAGGATCAATTCGTGAAATAACACTCATTTTCATATATTTGTTCATTATAAAATCCTAATTTTATTTTTTATTTTGTTATATAAAATTAGCGTATTTTGAAGAATCTATATAAACTTATCATATTTTTTATTTTGTTATATAAAATCCTAATTTTATTTTTTATTTTGTTATATAAAATTATCGTTTTTGGAAGAATTTGTTCAAGGAATGTCATCTAATACGAATCAATTTTCATTGTTGTAATTGGGTTAAGTGTTCAAGGTATAATGTGTCAATAAGAAAAACCCTGGAATTACAATGTTTATAATTGACCAGATTTTTCAAAATAACACGCCTTACCATAAAGAATGAAAAGCCATAACATCTAGAATAAAATTCAAAATTATTAGATAGATAAAAGAAAGTTCATGCTGCATTTATGCTAATGAAAAAAATATATATTGAAAAAGGTCTCTCAAATGCATACGTGAAAGGGTCGTACCTAACTATTGCGTCACAAAAAAGCTTAAGATTTCCTAAATAGAATATAAGGGTTAAATCCAACTACAGCAATGCACTTTTATATATATATATATATATATATATATATATATATATATATATATATATATATATATATATATATATATATAACATCACGCTTTCATTTTATCTATAACCATTTTATCTATTACCATTATGTACTTTAGAAAGTCTTTCCAATTATAGTTATATCATCCAAATACAAAACCATTTTTATTACAATAATTATGTAAATATTTTGAGTTTCCGTTGTAATTTACATTAGTATTATTCTTCATGTTATCATTTAGTTACTAAACTTTTTTTTTTTTTTTTTGTATTTGATGGCTATTTAACTTTAAATTTTGTAACGATTACATTCTTGTAACTGTCGTAATCGCCGTAAGATGTATGCTTTGTGTACTCATCAAGTCACTACACCAGTTTTTGTATGACTACAATTATTTTACTTTCAAATTTTGTATCAGTTACATCCTGGGTAATAGCTTCTTACCTGCTAATTGGTATATATTTTTTTTTCCGTGTTTACTATATACATCATTATTCTAAACGTGAAAATAAGTATTAGAAGGATTAAATGTTTGAAATCATTACACGATTACATAAAGTGGTTTTAAAAAACACTAGGAAAGTCAAAGAAGGACCGAGTGGCTAGTGGGGGATCCGAGAAAATTTTCAGTAGGAACATTGAAGGAAACAAATGGCATACTCACGAACCTAGAGAGATGGCATACTCAAGACTCATGGGCGTAACAAATTATTTTCAATTTTTAACATATGCTAAATGGTTATTAATTATTTTTAGTTAGGCCATATATTGTCATGCAGTTTTTGCCGCCAGTATGCCTATGTGGAAGTTATTACCGGCAGTAAACACCCCCCAATAATATTATTGTCGACGATAAACTACCATAGGTATACCTTCACCGATCTCTCTCACCTCTTTTAACATTCAAATTCATTCTTTCCCCTGCTCATTCTTAATGGCGGTAAACGCTACACACAACACCCTAACCATTTTGAAAAGTGGCATGAAGTGTGGTGTCAGTGGCACCACACTATTCAGCCTTAACAAGTGATATTATATTAGATAAATAATTAAAAATTTAAAATATTCAAAATAATTATTAATTATAATTAGTTAATAAATCCAACATAACAAAAAATAACTAAATTAGGTATTAATGGTTACAATGGTGTTATTGATACAAAAATTACTTAACGAGAATAAATTGTGTTTAGTGATTAGATCTAGTACACAAAACATAGCATGAGGGTAAATTTGAACACAAACCATTTTATAAAGTACAATGGCCCAATAAGAAAATAAACATATAATATGAAATTCCTACGATCAAATATTTTTCAAAATACAATGAACTATTGTGAAATTTGATAGTATAATGTTATAATAGAAATAGATGGAAAAAGAATGTTATAATACATAAATAAATAAAAGTATGATGCTAATCTTTGTACATACCGTAATGTTTTTTTAATAGACTTTGAAAATAGGCATATAAAAGGAATATGTAACATGATCCAACAATATATCGGCGTAGTTAAAAACTTAATGGTTAAATCTAAGAAACAGAATGACTACTTTCATATATTTGTTTATCATAACATCCTACTTTAGTATCATCCTGTTACATCATTATGGACTACCTTCAAGTAAACCCCCTCTAAAACTTACTTATGTTAGAAAAGAAATACTAAATTGGGCCTTAAACCGGGAGGTCATAAAAGAGTTAGTGTCATGGGCATCTTTGTTTTGTCACCAAATTTCAGTTAGAGCGAGAGATCTAAGAGATACTAGTGTCTCGAAAAGATAAAAGGCTCTAGTTCTCTTTGTAATAATTCAGCTGAAACTTTGAATTTCAATAAACACTGGGTTTTAGCTTATTCAAGTATATTAGTTAGTATCCTTACAAGGTTCCAACACTCTACGTGGTGGCATATGAAGTAGTATTTTGGACCCAAAAACAAGTGTGCTAATTTGGATTAACGAGGATGATCTCTCTCTAAGTATAGGGTGGTGTTACGATCTTATATTGTCCAAATATAAATTGGATTGGTGGCTTATAAGTTTAAGTTTCGCTATTTACCATTAATCTTCTTCATTAATATATCTTAAAAGACAAGAAAAATAGGAAAGAGTGACCCACAACACTTTAAATCATGGTAACTTTGTTGATTGATAAAATATTGAAATGTGATAGGAACAATATAGAGGATGGCAAAAACATATGGGCTAACCTTAATAGTTCCAGAACCAAGGACATCTGGTGCACCCCATCAATGGTCATGACACTAGATAAAGATGTATATTTATAGAGACTATAGAAGAGGGTAAGATTATTTGTCATGCCGTGTGATCGGAGGAACATGAATCAGTTGGAGGAAAAAGATAATAGGTATGTATTAGGGTTCGATTTCTAAGCAAATACAATAGTTAGAGTAGTGTAATTTTTAGTCCCAATAAGGTGTTCTTATACTTCCTTGGTTATGGTAAATTTGTTGTCTAATGTCGAGGCATTGTATGATGTTGAGTGATGAGTTCCTTTAATTTATGGTCAAGTACTTCTTACATGTTTGTTTGGTGTGGTGGAATTCATGGCAATCGTAACAACCAACATCATCAGTTGTTGGAATAGTTTCTTGTGATTCAGTAGTTTGATCATTATGACGGCCCCTACTATCCTATCTGTGACCTTATATCGTCATCGAGAGCCATCACTAAATCCTTCTTGGCTAACCAAATCACAACCTTTGTCTTTGAAGTTTAACCATAATCAAGCTGTTTTGGGGTCTCAGTTTGTTGTTCTTGGTCTCAGTTAGTTATTTTGTATATTAGGTGGTTGTTTCTTGATCTTAATTCATTGATTGTGGGTGTTTATTTGTTGTTTCTTGTCTACAATAATTAATCAAGGTATCAATTAGTATTTTTGATATCGTCTCATTATTTCCATCTCAATTAGTTTATTCCTATTCTCAATTAAATATTTATGTTATCCATTTTTTTGTTCTAGTCTAAATTAAATGTTTATGGTATCAATTTAAATCTAAAAGCCTCAGTGAAGTAATGATGTTATTATTATCATTTGTAGTTTAATTATTTTAGATTATAATGATTATAGTTTAGTTTATTGCTTATTATAATGGATATAGTTTACGTATTTGTAGACTATAATTGATATAATAGTTAAGGAAACTCAATATTTAATTTTTTGTTAACTTATCGTTAAATATAAAATATCAGGTACTATATCATAACTATTGCTACATAGTGTATAGGTAGCTTGTCGCTGTTGTCCACTACTCACTATAGATAACTATGGATTTCATATTGATATTCAATGGAAAAATATAGTTGAACTCCTCATATACCTTTTTAAATTCCATGAAATAAGTAGTGAGTACTCGTCTTGTTTCCCATGATGAAAGGACTTACAAACTCCATATATTCTTTATTTGTTTCTGTAGTACATGAGTTCCTTCACATATTCAAAGTGGCTAACTAAAGAAGAGAAAAAAACGCTTGATATTATTGAAAATATGCAAACACAAATAATCATCTTTGTAACCATGTATTAGAACGATCACCTTTAGGGATTAGATGTGAAATGAGACTCTATTCCCATGAGTCGGAGACGTATCGAAATAGTTTTTCTCCACTTGGAAAAGTTAAATCCATTAGGTATGTTATTAGTGAGTCTAGCAGCAACTAGAAGCATCTCAAGTACACATGTATTAATGTTGTTGGTTCTCAACGCGTAAAATCTCCCGACCATAAACCTCACTCTGATACCATGTAATTAAGGAATATAATGAGGCTACAAATAGCTTATTTATCATATATTATATAAGGGGAAAGTACAAGATTATGTATAGAGGCAATAAGCCTAAACATAGGAAACCCTATGTGTGTATCTACTAACGAGGAGGAAGCCAATAAGTACAATACTTATATTCTAACACGAACTGAAGTGCATGAAATTTTAGTGTAATTAGGAAACATAACTACAGTGGAAGGT